CAGGCCAGGCTCGGAGAAAGGGGTGGGGGTGGCACAGGCCTGATCCAGCAGGCGCCTTGTCTCTAGTTTTCTTCTTGCTGGTCTCTGGCGCCTGCCGTCTCCTTCTCCCTCCTCCGGGGTAGCCCTTGCTCAGGGGGCCTGGGACTGGCACACTCATTCTCGGCTGCCATGGCTCGCTCATTGGGTGCCTCAGTTCTGTGAGATCAGAAAGCTTTTTTCAGACAGGGCACAAGGTGTCAATCTTGGTCCAGCCCATCCCTGGACATTCAGACTGGTAATAGCCTTCTGGAAGCTGGCAAAAATGGAGCTTTTCCAGAGGGACTTTGATGGCCACCATTGTGGGTGGGATTGCTTTGGGCTTATTACCACAGTCGTTTTTTCATTGTCTGTAAGCTGCCCAAAATCTGACAGTGCAATACAAACTCGTTAAACAAATACATAATCTGTTTGTACAGGCTGTCATTCCATATTACCATTACACGTTGTTCGTGTCTCCAGAAAGCTTCCACCATATTTATGCCTGACAGCAGTAGAAAGAAGGGGGGGCGGGGGTGACAGCAAAAGGTCCCAATGCAAACCTCTGGCCTGCGGTGTCGAGCCCATTTTTGTGCTATAGCGGTAAGGAACAGATGCCTACAATAGAAGCATTTATTTCTCCCTGTTCCCTTTTCAGGTGAGCTGAGAATCTACTGGCTACTTGGAGGGGGGGAAAGGAGGGAGGGGGGATCTGACTTATATCCCACCTTTTGAAGAGGAGGCCAAGGTGCATACAGTGGTCCCTGTGTGGTAATTAGGGCTGAGAGAGAATCACCAGCTAAGTCTCCCAGAGAGCTTCTGTGGCCGAGGGAGGACTAGAACCTGCGTCCTGCCTCTCCTCGTCCAATTGCTGCAAATGCCCTCATTGAGTCCCCTGCCAAATCCTTCCTCCTCCTAAGCTCACCTTCTGGAAATTCTGGAATTCCTCTCGCGCCACAGCCATCCACAATGGCAATCGCAACTCTGAGGACAGACCCCTCATGCCTTACAAGAACAAGGCAGCAGTCTTGTGCAGCCTTGCTAGGCAGGTGATTGGGCAGTTCAGTAGAAGCCACGTAGATGGAGTTCTAAGTCGGATTTGGAAGGGATGTTTCTGAAGCTGCAGGAGGCAACATTTGCAAAGCCTCCTAAATGCTGTTAAGCCACGTAGATGGAGTTCTAAGTCGGATTTGGAAGGGATGTTTCTGAAGCTGCAGGAGGCAACATTTGCAAAGCCTCCTAAATGCTGTTTCTTTTCAAAGAAGAGTGTAGGAAGAGGCGGGGAAGACAACATCCTGTTCTCCATAGGCAGGGGTTGGAACAGCATTTAGGAGGCTTTGCAAATGTTGCCTCCTGCAGCTTCAGAAACATCCCTTCCAAATCCGACTTAGAACTCCATCTAGGTGGCTGCAGTTCCCCATCTGAGAACAAGAACCAAACTTCCCTCTCAAAACCGTGTTTGTCCTCCCTCTTGTCTGCTCAGGTTAAGTCCCTACGAGACCAGCTTCCAACAATGATCAACTCTATTTTCAGTGGACATGAAGAAGATGTTCTGGAAGGGCTAAATGACATAATGACCACACTCTATGAGATGGATGGCCAGGGAATTGGGCTCCTCTGTGTTGATCTTGCTCTGAATGTCCGCTCATTTTTTGAGGATGTAAGTTTTGAAGAAATGGGGTTAGGGTTTCCATAAAAACATAAGAACACCTGCTGAAATGGTCCAGGGATGTCAAGCCTTGAAGGCTAGCAAATTCAGGAAACAAGAACCACTTGGATTTCTGGAATGTTCATCTTGAAAGTGGAGAAAATGTCTGAAACCATTAAGGGCAATTTTCTAAATCTATATTTTGGATAGAGGAATGTTTCTGGTTTTTTCTTTTTTTTCCCAAAGAACTTGAACATTCCCAAGTCAGACCATTAAAATCTCTCTCCTCTTTTGCTGTCAGGTGAAAATTAGTTCAGGATTCCTAAGAACTTCAGAGCTGGGCTGCCATCACAGAAAATGCTGGCATGGCACCCTTCATACAAGCTTCTTACTTTGTGTATCTCCATCAGGAAAGAGTCGATGTCCGTGCAACTGCCATCTCGTTGTTTGGGCAGCTGGTGATGAGAGCCAAAGAAACTGACAAGGCCCTCCTCAAGAAGGAAGTGGTCTACAGTCTTCTCCCTCTGCTGCTGCATTTGAAAGACCGGGAGAGCACGGTTGCCATGGCAAGTTTAGATGCCTGCAGAGATGGAGCTAAGACCATCTCTTCAGCATAATTGAAAGGGTGATAGCTCAGGGGTAGAATATCTGCTTCACCCACTGAAGGTAAAGAGCTCCTGTCCCAGCTGCAATCTCCAGGTTGGACTGGGAAGGACACCTTCTGAAACACTGACTACCATCAGTGTAGACAGAAAGGACCCTTTCAGGTTCTTTTTACACTATACCCAATTTGATTGACTCAGACTCAAAAGATCCATCAAAAGCACTGGACCCTAGACAACTGGATTTTTATGTAAGGGTTGGGGAGATGTTTTATTTTGAAAAAAACTATCCAAGATACAAAAGTGAAACATGCAAACATATATGTTTGTGTTCTTTCTATGGCTATTATTTTATACTATATTCTATTTCTATTACTATTGATACTATACAATGTTCTCTATACTATATTCTACTACTATTACTATATACTATTACTTCTATGTCTATGCTATATTGCACTATTACTAGTATATGACAGTGCTTTATTCTTACAGACCCTGGTCTCTTTAAATCCTCTCTCTCTCTCTCTCTCTCTCTCTCTCTGGGATTTCTTCTATTGTCATTTTTTCTTCTTTATTCATGGGCAGCATGTAAAGCACTTGTACCTTCCCAACATTGGGCTTGGCTTGGCTTGGCTTGGCTTGGCTTGGCTTGGCTTGGCTTGGCTTGGCTTGGCTGTGCCTCTTCTTTTTCCTCTGAACCCTTCAGTCTCTGTGAAGGGGGATAAAAAAGCCTTCTTCTGGTGTTCTTCCCAGGTTTTGTTCTAGATGAGGATATCATCTAGATACACAGCACAACATTCCCCTTGACCAGGTAGGATCTTATTCATCAGCTGCTGGATTGTAGCTGTTGCCCCATGTAGACCAAAAGGCATTCTCTTGAATTGAAATAGACCTTGTGGAATGGCAAATGCTGTTTTCTCTTTTGAATGGTGTTCCAGTGGAATTGGCCAATATCCTTTGGTTAAGTCCAAGGGTGATGATAAATACTTGGCTCCACCTAGGCTATCCAAGAGGTCATCAACTTAGGGCATTGGATACCTATAGAATTTTGCCAGTTGGTTTATTTGCCAGAAGTCTATGCAAAATTGTATTTCTCCATTTGGTTTTGGTATTAATACAATTGGAGAACACCAGTCACAGATGGTTCTATAATGTCCATTTGAATTATCTTATCTCCTTCACTTTGTAACACTCCTTTCAGACATTCTGGAATCCTGTAGGGATGCTGTCGAATTGGTCAAGTTTCTCCCATTTCTATCCTATGCTCTTGTGATGGAAGACATTAGCGAGAAGGATCCTGGAATGGAGCTTCAAGGTTACAGGGAGGGGAAGAGACATTCCAAGCATCTCCTCAGCCCCAGCCAGAGTGTGTGAAAGTGAAAAGGAGACTGGCCCCTCCCTAAGGGATTCAGGGTTACAGTTGCTGTCGTTGGGGGTTAGAGTTAGTCTGGCGAGATTCTGTCTTGTAGGTGTAAGCTAATAAAGTAACTGAGCTGTTCCTGGACTGTCTCGTTGTGATTCTTGGGCTGAACCTGACATCAATCTCGCCAGACTCACTCTAACCCCCAACAACAGCAACATAACCCTGAATCCCTTAGGGAGGGGCCAGTCTCCTTCTCTTCACTTTCGCACACTCCAGCTGGGGGCTGAGGAGATGCTTGGAATGTCTCTCCCCCTTCCTGTAACCTTGAAACTCCATTCCAGGATCCTCCTCGCTCATGCTTTCCATCACAGTTCTACTAGATCTCTTAATCCTGGTTGTATGGTGAACATCTCTTTAAAGTCCCATAATGTTTTTTCAATACCTTTTTTTTGACTCTCCAATAAGTCCGAATTAATATGTACTTTTCCATATGATGGTTGCAGTATCACATCCCAAGCTTTGTCCAACAAATCTGGTTTTCTTTATTTTAGTACAAGCAAAGCCATCCCAGCTTCAGTTCTATCATGCCAGTTCCTTAGGAGGTTAGCATGGTAGATTTTCTTTCTTCCATTTTCCAGTTCAATTTCATAATTCACTGGCCAGTACTTCTTACTATGTAGTGACCCTGCCAATTAGCTTGTAATTTGCTTTCTTTACTAGGTAATAACAATAATACTTGGTCTCCTACATTGAATTGCTTTGATTTTAAACTCTTATCACCTTGTCTCTTCTGTCCTTCCCTAGCTATTTCTAAATGTTCCTGGGCAATGTGTCCTAGTGCTTTTAACTTGTTTCTCTGAATTAATATATATTCTATTAAGTTCTTAGGACCTTCTAAGTTTTCACAGCATCCTTCCTTAATAATATCCAAAACCCCTCAAGGTTGTCTCCCATAGAGTAATACAAAAGGGCTAAATCCCATGAATGCCTGTGGGATTTCCCTATATGCAAACAATAAAAATGACAGCCAGTGGAAGTTTATCTTGTTCCCCTTTTGGCTTCATTAATTGGCAAACATGTTTTGAGTCTTGGCCCACATATTTCTTAAGCATAGCCCTCAGGGTCTGGTTCATCCTTTCAGTGAGATCATCAACTTGTGGGTAAGGGCTGGTACACACCCCTTTTATCCCTAAACCAGCATAAAGATATTTCTGAGGAGCTGATTGAAAATTAGATCCTTGATCTGTGAGGGTATGCCTATCCTACTAAAGATTTTGACCAGCTCCTCTGCTATACCTTTAGCTGTCACATTCCTTAATGGAACTGCTTCTGGATAGTGAGTTGCATAGTCAGTCGCAGACAACTAGGATACATTCATTGCCTTTACTGGATCAGGGTAGAAGGCCTACAATATCTATGGCTATTTTAGAAAAAGGAATGGGAATTAGAGGCACTCTCTCCAATGGAACTTTATCTTGTTCCCCTTTTGGCTTTATTAATTGGCAAACAGGGCAGGCTCTACAGTAATGGGCCACATCTTTATGAATCCCTGGCCAATAAAATCTATCTAAAATTCTAAATGTGGTCCGATCTCTACCCATATATCCAGATCATGGGTCTTCATGGGCTAGTTCCAATATAGCCTTGCAATATTCCTGCGGAACTACTATTTGTTCATGTGGATGAAGCCTAATTCGAAACCGCAACCTGATTTTTCTTGGAATCTGGTTGTTATTTCCCTATTTCCCTCCTGGTCTGCCACTAACCAACATTGTTTTAAGGTGGGATCTTTCTTTTGTAAGGGCCCTAAGTCAATTTCCCATTTAGGAGAGTCCATCTCTATGGGTTCACCTCTGGCTTTAGAGCTTTCTCCTTTCTCCTTTCTAGGACATCCCACTTCCCTTGTTAATTCAGTATGGCTAGGAAGGATCCCAGGCTCCTTCCCCTTCAGCTTCTGCTCCTTCTTTGTCTCTGCCTTAGACTGAGCTCTTGTAGTTACTCCCACTAGCTTAGCTTCCTCCCTGAAGCCTTTTGAGTGAATCCAACCGTCAGCAATGGGAAAATCTGTTCTAATCGCTAGATTACATGGTAATTTAGGGATTACTCCTACCACCATTACCTGTTCATTACCCTTTGCCTGTATCCTGGCTTTAACCAATGGGACCATCTCACTTGTAATAGGCTCTTTTCCTAAAAATACTGCCTTTTTTACTAAGTGAGGACATACTAACGTCCATCTGCTCGCAGTATCTACCAGGCCTCTGACAGTCACCCCATTAACTTTTGCTGGAATCATAATTTTGTCCCCCAGAGGTACTTGCACTATTGCATACGTTCCCTTTTTCCTCTGGTTTTTACAGCCTTTTAATAAATGTCCACTTTTCTCATAGTTGTAACTGTGAGAAAAGTGGACATTTCTCTCTCGCTTCCCAATGTCTTTATTTGGGCAGGAGCTAAAGGCTTCTTTACACTTTTCTCCTTCAACTGTTCCTGCTCGTTATGGTTCCTCCTTTCTGCAACAGGCTTTCTTACTCTTCTTTCTCCTTTTGTATCTCCCTTCCAATCATCCTCTGTCCTTTTTGCTGCCAGGTAATTCTCAGCCAATTCTACTACCCTTTTGCCTGTTTTTTGGGTGGTGTTCCTGCACCCAAAATCTCACTTTGGTAGGGAATACGTGAAGAACGTGCTCTAAAATTGCTTCCTCTACCACTTTCTCGTGCTTCTTTCATCTGGCCTCAGCCATTTCCTTCCTAGGTCTTCCAGTCTCGCCCACAACGCACAGACCCCTTCATGTTTGTCATAGTGTAGCTCCTAAACCGCTGCCTATAGTTATAAGGAGTTATATCATACCTGCATAGGATTACCTCTTTAACATGATAGTAATCTGTTACTTCCCTAGCTGGAAGACTGCTATAAGTTCTTAGAGTTTTTCCTGTTAAACGTGGGGCCAACCTGGCCACCCATTCACTCTCAGGCCATTTACAAGAGGTAGCAACCCTTTCAAACATAGTGAAATAGGCTTCTATATCTTCTTCCTCTGTTAATTTAGGGATTTTAATATCTTTGGGACCACGTCCACACCCGATATGTTCATGAAACCTTAGAGGTGAATGTGTCCCTCCTGCTGGAGCCTGGGCCCCTTTAAGTAGGTTCATCAGCCCCTTAAACGCTTCCCTCCTTGCATCTCTCTCACTCTTTTCCCTTTCTAACCTGTCCTTCCTCTCTGTCTCCCTCCAGAGCTGCTCTTGCTCCTCTTTTTTTCAATTAATCTAATCCTTTCCTCTCGCTGTTGCCTCAGCGTCCCTGATACAATATTGGCCCAAGTATCCTGGCCTAGCCCCTTTTTTGGCTGTTCTACCCTTTTCTTTGGTTTAACCACAGGCTTAGGCTGGACACCTGTCTACGGTGTGGTAATGCTAGCCTCCTCCGTGTCCAAAGGAGGACCAGCCCCCTCTACCTTTCCCACCCCTGCCTGCCCGTTGAAGGCTCTGCCGAGGGGCTCGGTTTCTGCAGCCAGAATGTCGGCTGTTGCCTGCCAGGTCTGCGGTCTGTGGGGGCCAAATTCCCTTCCTTTAGCAGCCAAGGTTTGTTTTCTTTTCATGCACAGTACTTAAGGAGTCTCCTGCGTCTGAGCCACTCCCACCACCGCCACCCATTTGTCACGGATTCTTTTCAAACTATAACCAATCTGATAGACTCAAAAGACCCGTCCAAAGCACTGGACCCTGGAGACTTCTGTTTTACTGTGTATCTCCCTGTAAGGGTTGGGGAGATGCTTTATTCTGAAAAAAACTATCCAAGGTTTTTTTAGCCAAACATTGTATGTGCGAGTTCTTTCTATGGCTATTATCCTACACTCTATTTCTATCACTACTGATACTATACAATGTTTTCTATACTATATTATACAACACTCTATACTATTATTTCTACTTTTATGCGATATTATACGATTACTAGTATACTATTACTATTGCTATTATACTACCACTATTACTAGTATACAAGTGTCTTACAGACCCTGGTCTCTTTAAATCCCCTCTCTCTCTCTCTCTCCAATTTCTCTCTCTCTCTCTCTCTCTCTCTCTCTCTCTCGGATTTCTTCTGTTGTTATTTCTTCTTCCTTATTCACGGGCAGCATGTAAAGCACTTGCACCTTCCCAGCACTGGCCTGGGCTGGGCCGGGCCTCTTCTTTTCCCTCTGGACCCTTCAGTCTCTGTGAAGGGGAAAAAAAACACTTTTTATTTGGCTGCTCTGTTTGTTGCTGCCGCCGCCGCCACTGCAGAGCTTCCAGGAGACGCGGGTCTCCTGGGGAGAAGGCTCAGAGAGGACGGGAGGGAGGCAGCACAGGGGCCTGCAATGGTCCCTCAACAGCCTGCTCTTCCACGCTCTGATAGACCAGTGGTCTCACCTGGCCAGAGGCACATCCTAAATCCTCAGCCATATGTCCCAGCATCGAGAAACAAATTAAGCTTCTAGTGAAGAAGCCCTTCTGAGGAGCTGAAGGTTGAACTGGGTTCAATCGCACCAACACGCACATAGAAGTAAGAGGATCTTTCAGAAGATTTGAAGGGGGCACAGCAAATCTCAACAAACATGGTGTGCAAGTGGTGCCTAGAATACATTGTCACAACCCAACACTTAGGTAGATTAATGGATGGAACCCCTGGCTTCAGTGGCACAATAATTAATTGGGGGAATCCAGCAACCTTAATGATTGTGAGAGCAAACAATGAACAAAAATGAGAGTTTGGGTGCAGGCTGTTTGTCCTCGTCCTTCTGTCTAACAAACATATCCTGTCACTAGGAGGTACAAGGACTCTAACAGGCATATAAGGTTTAGAAATGGGTGGCCACTTCCCTCATTAGAGGGGAGGGACGTCAGGGAGCTTGGAAGCTGGACTGCACAGGAGCCCTACTGTGCAACACTCTATTTCTTGAACAAAACTGTTCCCTCTTAGGCTGAGGTGTCTTTGGGTGTCTGGGCGGACTGTACTCTTCTGTATCTCAATATGTAACGACCCCCCCCCACCCTTTTCTTCCTGGTTGCAGAGCTGTAAGTTGAGTCTCTTGCACTGTGGTGTCTTTCTTGGATGGGCCCACCTGAAGCTGATGTTCCGCAGTCTGGCCTGGGATGACCTCCGGAGCTGTTTGATGAATGTGTGGAAATACTTGGTCAGTGAACGGTTTGCTTGGCAGTTGCTTTTCCCATTTCATTCCTTCCCCTTTGAGCTGAGGGAGAGGGGACGGGTGCAGAGTGTCCTGAAGATCACTAGTTGTGCAACTGCAGAGGGAACCCCTTGTTTGAGCTGCATCCTTCAAAGACTCAGCTCACTATTGGGTCACTTGCCCAGCCCCCTGTCCCCTCATTGGACCAACCCAGAAGATCACAAGCCATGATCCCTTGCAAGTGCAACAGTGGGCAACTTTTGAGGAGCTGAAAACCACACTTGGGGTTAGATCGTGACTCAAAGAGGGGGGATCTTGAATCCAAAGTAAGTGGGACCAGGTAATTCTTTTTTTCAATAAAGCAAAAGAAAATCCCCAAAAATATTAGCTGAAACTAAGAGACTGGTCCTTTGTCAAATAATAAAATTAATCTTTCAGCTTTTCAACAGCAGTTTAAAACCACACCACTGAATTTTAGCAGAAAACCTGGAAACTTGAGAGTGACGGATGCTTGCTGTCCCCCCACCCGTCCTGCTGCATGAAAACAAGCAGCCACAGAGAGGCTCAGTCGACCAGCTGCTCTGGGGACAGGGCAAACCAGGAACAGAGCTACTCCAGTTCGACTCAGTCTTTTCAGCCAAGAAGGGTGGGTCCTCTCCAGACATGGAGAGGGATTGAAGCTGGAGGTCGACAGAGGCATGGCTGAAAGACCTCGTCTAATCTAAGGGAGTTTGAAAAGCCCTTGGGAACTGGGGAAGCACCGGACGGAGGAGAGCCCTAGTCCCTGACCCTCTCTTCCCGAAAGGGAGGAAGGGATCCTCGGCCCATCAGGCAGCAGGAACCGAGTCTCAGGGAGCCATGGAGAAGAGCGGCGCCGCTGTGTTTACTTTGTCCTTGGGCTTATGCCTGGTTTTGTTTCAGTGCAGCATTGCCTAGTATTACCATTCACTGGGCTTGTTGGCAGTTATGGATCTAGGCTAATTGCTTAAATTGATTTTTAAATTCTTAGCTACTTTTAACTCTAATTTTATTGGGCTGGAAGTATTCCTTATTGGCCCGGGCTATTGTGGGCTCATGAGATCTGATCCAACATGCAGGACTGACTCCAAGCACCTCTTGGCCACCGTTCCTTTCAGAATGCAGAGAACATAAACAGGCAACAGCCACTAAGAAGTGAACTTGACTGGAATAGAAGGCAAGAACCCCATTACACAGGGTTTAAGAGGGAGGGAGGATAAATTCTGTGTCAGCCTCGTGATACTCCATGACTGTCCATCGTTTGCCATGGCTCCCATTCCTGAATTGCAGCAAAGGTTTCGTTCCCTGCCATGTTGATCAAGTCCCCAGGGACCCATGTAAGAGGCGTAAGAAATGGGCTAAAAAGAACTGAGTAAAATGTAACAGAGACAAAAAGCAAAGTGTGTCACAGTGAAAAGAGGAACTGCTTCCATGGAGACTTCTGCAGTCAAACAGATGTGTTCATCTCTGAATTTTTCCTGGCTTGAGGACAAGAAGACCAGTGGAACAGGGGATCCTCCTCCCAAAACCCATTTTCATTTCTCTCAAATGCTTCCTGCAGATGTTAAAAATCAGGCTGATGTGCCTCCCTGTTTTAGAAGACCTAGGCGGGATCTGGGAAAAATTCACCCTCCCATGCAGCTTGATGGGTGACAAAAATGGGGAAATAGGACCGCAACTTCTGGCCAAAGAATTAAATATCCATCAATAATGAATTCCTTTCCTTCTTTCTCTGCAGATGCGGAACAACCACGATAATATACACATTTTTGTATCTCAGGCCTTGGGATTCCTCCATCATCCCCAGACAGAAATAAGGAATGCTGCAGCACGGTTCATGGGTGAATCTCCCTCAAATTGCTGTCTCTTCCCCAGTCCTTCGTCCAGCCCCCAGATATTCTCCTGAGCTTCTGCACGTGAATCCACAGCAAGCTGGACAGACCGCGCTCTGGGGGCTCCATGCAGGGATGAGACAGGGAGGGGCTTAGGCCCAAGGGAACCTTCAGGGACCAGAGAGCGCTGAGTTGGGAACACTTCCCCAAAGGTGGCAAAGCAGCTTTTAAACTGATACTTGAGGGAAAACCAACAGGTGCAAGGCAGCATCTGTTTGGGGAGGGCATATGCCCCAGAGGTATTGCATACAGGACTTATTGCAACAAACAGAGCCCATGTTGGAAGTGGGTCAATGGGTGGCCATGTCCATGAACATGGCCATATTGGCATGAGCCCTTCCACAGACTTTTTGGGTGTGGAAAAGGCTCATGCCAACATTTTGTAACTCCTAGAATGAAAGGGCTGGAAAGGAAATCAACTACTCCAATCTACAGCCCAGTGCAGAAAGTCACCGTGGTCCTTTCAGAAGGTGGTGGTGCAGCACTAGAAGCCTCCCAATTTGGGATAAAGTGGGAATAACCGAAACCTGGTGAAACGGAGAGTTGGTGGGATACCATCTGTCACAAACCTTTGTGGGTTCACAAGGTTTGATGCACGACACGGCACATGTGACACCACTTGTGATTTTCTTCTTCTGTCTTAGTAACACAGCCAGCAAGTAAAACAAGTTCCTACTTTCAGTTTTAGTCACCATTGCTTTGCAAGAATTATTCACAGCTAGATAAGGCCCCGGGTCTACTCATCGATCAAAACTCACCTCCTCCTCTGCTGAACATTCCCTGCTGGTCAGTGGCGTGCAGCAGGAGGAGAAACAAGGCCGGGAGAATCCACCAGTCCATCCCACTTGAAAGCTTTCAGGACAGACCGTTGGCCCGCCTTGTTCCTGAGGGACCATAAAGAGCCACTTTGGAACAGAGCAAATGATGCTGCCTGACTTGTCTTTCCTGCCGCCAGCCAGACAGGAGGAAACCTGTTAAGCAGCTGTCTGAGTACATCCTTATGCCAGAGCAGCTGCTCTTGTCCCTCTTCTGGGCTGAGAGACAGGATGAGGGGCACAAGGGGGAAACTGGCGTTGGCAGGACATGAGTTTGCTGTGTTGAAGGGCAAGCGAGGACAGGACCTCTGCTTTTACTTTCTCTTCCTGTAATCCTGTTAATGTCCTGTAAAATGCACATATACAACCTACCCCTATTCACTTGCCTTATCGGGTCAATGCCCTACTTTTTAATAAAAGGCTCTGTTGTCTGATGTATTTTTGCAGGCTTTGGGGAAGGGGGTTTCTACTTGCAAATGATTTAGGTCTTCAGAAACAAAGTAAAATTCTCAAACTGTTTTTGTGTAGGCTACACGCTCAACTATTACAGCTCAGAACTGTCTAAAAACCTGGAACAGGAGGACCTTTTCTACTTGAACAAAGGTAGGAGAATACAAGTATTTTCAGGCTGTGGAGAGAGGGCTGCCTGCCTGAGCGAAGGCGGAGGCTCCTCCCTTTGCCTAGCGGGTCCAGAGGGACGCATCCCCACAACCGATGAAGGGTGGTGCTGTATGCCACCCTCACCCCCAAGCACTCTCTCTCCCTCCCTCCCTCCCTCCCTCCC